CGGCGCGGCCTGGCGGGCCTGACCCGCCGCACCGGGGCTCCTGGGGGGCACTGCGGCCGAGCTCTGCATGGGTTTCCTGATGTGCCGAACACACCTCCCTCTCTCTCTCTTCTTGTCCTACTGCTCTGCTGCTGCGGGATTAGGGCGTCGAGGCCTCGGCCTCGGCCTCGCGCTGCTCGCGGCCGGCTCTCGACTGTCCTCGGGAAGAGGTGGTTATTACAGCACTCGCGCTCGCGGCCACTCGCCTGCTGGCGAGCCCACCGGAGCGGGACACGCGCGTGCCCTGCCCCCCCCCTCCCAACTCATCCCCCTACCGGGTCGAGCCAGCTGGTGTGTCTGCGTGAGCAAGATGCGAGGGGGTTCAGGGGGCGAGGCAAACAGAGAACAGCTCGGGTTGTTTTAACCGCGAGGGCTGCTTATCGGCCGGCTGGAAATGACGGGACTTGGAAGGAGCTCATATAGAGGCTCTGTGGGACTAAGTGACTTATCGGCAATTATTGAGCCTCCTGATACCAGGACCAGGTGGCAAACTAACCCCGCGCACTCTCGCGCGCACTCTCGCCGGTATGTTGCACCGCATTCCTACATGCGGGCAGATTGCCTACTCGCCCTTCCCGTAAGACGCCACGGTCAGGGGTGGTCAGGGGCGACAGGCAAGCCCGCCCGTACTGCAGGGTGCGGTCATAAGACTAGGGTCTTATGGTGCGGTTACTGAATTCGTGTCCCACTCATCAACGTGTTGAGATTATTTTTCAAATAAAAGTCCAGTCAACTTTCACCATTAATGGTCTCATTTTGGATGTACGGTACGGCCAGCAGGTCCAGGTGCAGTGCACGTCCGCCCTTCTGGAGAAGGGTGGCGAGAGAGAAATGGAGTTGAGCAGTTTTCTTCTTTCCACTACCGTCTTTGAATCCTGCATGACGCCATTTTTCACCAGCGAACCTCATTTTCATCTCATGAATACCGGGTGTTGCGGGTGGATATTTTCGCACACCCTGCCGCTCGCAAAGAGAAAGGAGGGCCGGGTTTGGCTATACTTCTCTCCCCGCTGCCGGCCGAGGAGGCAGGCGCCAGGCGCCGGCGTCCCGCAGGACCACGCCAAGTGACTCTCCGAGAAACTGAGGCCATCGCCAACGGCGACTGGCAACGGCAACAGTGACTGGGTGCCGAAACGGCCACGGGGAGAGCAAACTTATTGTTTGCTTTTGTGTGATTCATTTGCGGTGCGGCTGAGCTGACCTCCCTTTCTTGCCCGGAGTGGCGATATTGCGGCGATAAATATCGGCGCTGAGCGGCGGCCAACGCCAAGACGTCCGGGTCGGGTCCGTGCCGAAGGCCGTAGCCGCGGCCAGGTCCTGGAGTGCAGGCCCGCGCCGCGCCCGGCCCGGGCCCGCGGCCCCGCCTCGACCAACCCCGCGCTCGTTCACCCCCGCCAGGATCTGCAGGGCCGGCAGGGCCGGCAGGACCGGCAGGGCGCAAGGGTAATGGGACTTGGCAGAGGCTCGGGCCCGGCCTCGGCCAGCGCGCGCAGGTGTGCACCACGAGAACAAGACCGCCACGAAGATTATCGACATGAAGGGAGATGAGAGAGTGGGGAGAAAATGTTCCCTCTCGGACGAGCGTACAGTACACACTGAATCCCTTTCACTTCAAGTTGCAGGGCTTGCGGAGGGTCCCAACTAAAAAACAAACAGGAATTCACCCAAGTGATTAAGCGAAAAGCGAAGCTCTTTACTCCATGACTAGAACGGTGTCTGTCTGGCGGATACGTCGAGAACAAATTTTGTGTTTGGGGTCGGGCACGTCTTGCTTGTTCTGGAAGAAGATAACTTGCGAGGGCTGATGTCCAGGTCCAGGATAATTTCAACGTCATAGTCTTGGGTTCTGTAGAGTTCGGCAATACAACACCGACCGACAGACCGTTCTGCATGGAGCCGTTCTTTACATACCTACACACACGTATCGGTTGTTTTTGGTGGCACAATCACGGCTCGGTGCCTGATACTATGTCAAGCCGAGGCGGGGGAGGGGGAAGTCCCCGGAGAGGCGGACCACCCTCTCGCACGCGAGCACGATGGGTTGCCTACCCACCAGGCTGCCGCGTGCAGCCGCGACACGACGGCTGGAGTAGCTTGCTGTAGCTGTCCAGCTCTGTAGTTGCGACACCAGCCAACAGCCTCCGCGATGGTTGCTGCGGGGCCCTGGAGGAGCCGCTAGCCGCTTCTGGCGCCAGGCGGCCCGACCGGGCCGGGCAGCCCTTTTGGCACGCCCACACACATTCACGGGCGGGGCGGGGCACGGGGCCGGCTGCCTTGTCAGGCGATATAAAAGATGAAAGGAAGCCAGGACGGAAAGGGAAAAAAACTTTTCTCGACAAAGTATTTCCAATAAACGAGGAGGGATTATTTTGTCCCCTTTTCCCCTTCTTTTATGTTTTTATATTCCCCGGTCTGGTCGACCTGCGGCCCGATATTACCTTTTTCGAATTTCATAAAGGTGGCTTTTGTTTCCCCTCCTGATGGGCAGGCAGCGCAGACATACTGGGGGGTCGCGGGGCGCGGGTTCGGATCGCGGGGCGCGGGGCGCGGGGCGGGGCGCCGCCTTCCCTCCTGCAGCCACTTCCTCCCCCTTTCTCCTCTCGCTTGCGCCCTACACCAACTTCCCACTCTTGTTTCACTCTAGCCTCCCGCTAATTTTCTCATTAGGGCGCCTTCACGGCGCCCTGGCCCTGGCCGGCCTGCGCGCCTTCCGCCAAAGCCAAAGTCGGTTTTTGTTGTTTTGTGCGGGGCGCCGGGGCGCGGCTGTGGAGAGCCTAGTAGGGTGATGCAGAGGCGAAGGCACCTTGCCAAACGGCAGCAAGGCCCCTCCGGCCCAGCCCAGACCAACCCCGAGTCGTTTGTTTCTCTTTCCGCGACCTGGCCCGGGCGCCACCTGCGCACCGCGCGGCGTCCGCAGCCAACACGCTTTCTATTGTCTTCAAGGTAAACGCCAGCCCTGGTAGTTCCACGGTACCAAAATTCGCGACCGGATGTTCTGGTCGGAAAAAAACATTTCATGTTTGAACGCCCAGCCTTCTGTCCTTCACGTCACCAACCACCATCCTCGGCTCGGCAGTCGCCTGCCCCACTTTTCATTTCATCTTTCTCCCTTTTCTCGCCAATTATCTCACGTTCCACGAAAATTATATACACACAGGGAGAAAGCGCGCTAAAGTTTTAATTATGTTACCGAAGGCAATTTTTGTTGTTGGTGCTTGTTTGTTGGTCTGTGCGCGGTACCTCTGGCGCCCCGGCGGGGCTGGCAGCCAAAGCGACGCGCGCGCGCGCCACAAACCGTGTAATACGCCCACAAAAAGCGCGCGCCGCCGGGCGAAAGGAAATAACAGGCCGCGGTGAAGGGAGGCATGGCGGGGGAGCAACATCCACAGGAATCCACATCGCCTCGCATTTCCCCCGGCCGCCCCCCCGACCACCGCCGCGGGGCGAGAGAGCCGCGCCCGGGCTTAAAAAGTCAGCAAAGATAATGGGGCCTGAAATTTTGATGATGCATAGGCTTTGGAATTGGGAAATCTAATAACGCGTGTATTGGTGAGGGGCTCTGACTGACTCTGCGGGTTCGGCGGGGCTTAGTACGCGTGGGCGTGGGTGGGTGGGGCGGGTAGAAGGGGTACGGTGGAGGATACACACTCTCTGAAACTTGCGGAGGATGATAGATGGTCCACGGGGTGGCGAGGTACAGGGCAGGCGGGACGGGCGGGGAGGGCGGGGAGGACTCCTGCAGGAATACGCCACGGGAGCGAGTGAGAGGCCCTCCACGGGGCACCCGGTGCTGCGCGGAGGTGGGAGAGAGAGGGAGAGGGGCCCCGGCCGCGGCCCGCTGGCGCCTCTGGCTCGATGCTGGAGGGTCGGTCGGGTCGGTGGGGTGGCCGCCAGCTCCACC